TTTGTATATCCTTCCCTTCAAGGCTCAGGGGTCCAGGATTATCTTCTGTGTCTGTGTTAATTGGTTTCCCTTTTCTTTGTTGAAGAGGGTCTGTGCAATCTTTCTGCCTAGTCTGCCACCTTGCCGGATCCTCCTAAATTGAGGATTCTCGATCTCTATTTTAAGTATTACCTACAAACACAATCCTAAACAATAATTATATAACAGAGGAGGGGAAAATGCCAATTCTTAACCTTAGTCAACTTTAAAGTAGCCACTGTTTCAGTTATTTCAAAACAAGATAAATAAAAAAACAAATGAACAAGAACAGGATAAATAAAGAAAATAAAAATAATTTGTTACTGCCAACAAGACAACTCATCACAAATAGGTAACAATGTCTTTTTGGTGGGATCCTGGCAATCATCATTTGTGCCTATACAGTAGTCCCCTTACTGAGGTTTCACTTTCTGTCCTTTCAGTTATCCACAGTCAACCACGGCTCAAAAATACTAAATGAAAGCAAACAATTCCTAAGTTTTAAATTGTGCATCGTTCAGAGTAGTGTGGTGAAATCTTACGTTGTCCCACCTGGGACATGAATCAAACTCTTATCCAGTGTATCCATGTTGTATATGATAGCTGCCCATTAGTCACTTAGTAGCTGAGTTACTGAGTTTACCAGACCAATTGTCTCAGTGTCAGTGTTTGTGTTCAAGTAACTTAATAATTGTACTATTTTATTTCAAGTCATTGTTAATCTCTTACTGTGCCTAATTTGTAAATTAAATTTATCATAGGAACATATGTATAAGAAAAACATAGTATACGTAGGGTTCAGTACTATCCATGGTTTCAGGCATCCACTGAGGGTCTTGGAACACATCTCTTGTGCATAAAGGAGGACTATTGTACCTTGTGGTGGTTATGTTTGTGTGTCAACCTGGCTTGGTCTGGTTCAGTGGCTGGGCAACTGGTGGTAGTTATTCCCCATGATAAGAATAGCAATCAACTACATGGTAGGACCCACCACAAACAGCTGAGTAGCTGCTTTAGGTGTGGTCTGCTTCCTGAATGTAAGAAACAGCTTTGGGAATGGTCTCTAGCTTATGGCACGCTTGGATCCTGCATGTAGCCATGTCACTGTTCAGCAGCCTGCCATGCTTTGCCAACCTTAGGACTTTCAATGGACTTAAATTAATGACCTGCCATGTGGTTTGGTAACATCAGGACTATGCCTTTTTACTTTTTACCTTGGGTTTGTCAGTCTCAGCAGCCAGAAGCTGTCTGAGTGAAGAAAAGCCTCTAGTTCCAGTGGGCCGGGAGCAAGAAGCAGAACTGAACCCCAAGGTTGAGGGGCTTTCACCCAGCCCCTAGAGCCTGGCACTTTGAACTTGGACTTAAAGCCTCCAAATTGTAAGAATAAACTCCTGCTTGTTCAAGCCATCCCATTTGTGGTACATTCTTGTCAGAATGGCACTAGGTAACCAAAACATAGCTCATGACATGTTTTTTTTTTTTTTTTTTTAAATAATTATTATTATTACAAACATTCATAATATAGAATTAGGATGCATTTGCAGTAACATCTGGAGAAACAGTGATAATTCAGATCAGAGGAAGAAGACCTCGGATTTGGGATATGAACTAGAATTAATGCAAAGTTTGGCGTCTAATGTTCATGTGAACTTGGCAATTCAGTAAACTTTTTATATTTTTTCCTTTGTAATTAGGAATAATACTATATGTGGTATCTATTTATTGAATGTTGTACAAATCAAGTACAATGGTAAATTTGAAAGTGCTTTGAAAACTCTTGAAAATACTGAGTAAGAAAAATCATCACTAATACAGGAGTTCATTACAGACAATCAGAAATACTTTCTGAAACTCCACCCACATATCACCCACTGCCACTGAGTCAGTTCCAACGCATAGAGACCCTATGTGACAGAGTAGAACTACCCCATAGGGTTTTCAAGGCTGTAAATCTTTACAGAAGCCTATTGTCTCATCTTTCTCCAGTGGAGCAGCTGATGGGTTTGAACTACCAACCTTTTGGTTAGCAGCCAAATGCTTTAACCACTGAGTTACCAGAGCTCCTTCATCCAAATATCATCATTCTTAATTCTTTGAGAATACATGTCCCTCTCTCACTCTTTTTTTTCTTTCTTACAGATACAGGACTATACTTATATTCTTCAAAAAAAATTTTGTGGTAAAATATATATAACAGAACGTTTGCCATTTTAATCATACTAAGTGTACAATTCAGTGATATAATTGCATTCACAATGTTGTGCAACCATCAGTGCTATATATTTCTAAAACTTCTGTTCTACATATTTCCTGTAAGTGGGATCATACAATATTTATCCTTTTGTGTCTGACTTTCACGTAGTATAAAGTTTTCAAGTATATATCAGAATTTCATTGGTCTTTAGGACTAAGTAATATTCCATTGTATATAAGACTCAAAGTCATTTAATTTAAGTATCTAGGTATTTTTCATCTAAGTCAAACCCTTCACTTTCATAATTTGTAAAATAATGAGGGTATGATAAATGATTCAAGGTTCTTTTGAGTTTTAAATAGACTGTCTATATTTGTATTTACATACTTTACATAGAAACATGGCAAGAATATTTTCACTAATAAAATTTCAAATCTTTTGAAATATTAAAAAAATCAACATTGATATTAAGTACTTTTAAGAAAATGTCAAAAAAACAAATAACCCACCTGATAACCTGGTTACAGTGGGCACACATTGGAGTTCGTTTCCCTGCTGGAATGTGCTCAGCTCTTTGCACGAAAGTATCCTGTTCACTTGGCTGGGGTTGACCCACAGCTGAGTTGGCTGATGCCACTGCTCCTGAGGAAGCTGCACTGTTTGAGATTCTTCCAGTGGAAGGTGCTAGGAGTTAAAACACAAGAAAATCAGTAGAATAAGCTAAATACAAGCTTTTCTCTAATAATCAAATAGTAATAATTTTTCTAATAATCATGAACTCCCTTGCTCATATTTATTGCAAGCTTATGTACTAAATATTGGGTTGTGGCTACTGAGATGAATAAAAAAGGAAATAAAGGATTACAATACACTGAAAAGAATTATGACAGATGTACACAAAGGGTGTTGCAAGGAAAGCAGAAAGTATTTCTACTCATCGAGACATCTCTGATAAGCATTAATTGGAGTTATAACTCCAAATACATCATGATGTTATTGTTAGGTACCATCAAGTCGGCTCCGACTCAGCTACCCTACATATAACAGAAGTAAACACTGCCTGGTCCCAAATATATCATGTTATTGTTGTTGTTATGTGCCATAGAGTTGGCCCCGACTCATAGTGACCCCTCCTTGGGTTTCCGAAGCAGTATCACTACGGAAGTAGATTGCCCAAACTTCCTTCCGAGGAGTGGCTGGTGGGTTTGAACCACCAGCCTTCTGGTTAGCAGTCAAGTGCCTCAGGCACTATGCTACCAGAGCGCCTATCATAGGCACATTAAAAATGGCAATGTGCAGAACGAATCAAGATCCATAGCTCACACCATACACAAAAATGAACTTAGGATGGATCAAAGACCTAAATGTAAAATCCAGAACTATAAAGTTCATCCAAGATAAAACAGTGAACTTAGGGGCCCTATTTGATGGCATAAATAGACTATCAAATATAACCCAAATGCACAAACAGCAAAAAATAAACTAAATGATGGGACCTTCTAAAAATGAAATCCTTATGTATAGCAAAAGACTTCTCCAAAAGAGTAAAAAGAGAATCTACAGATTGGAGAAAAAAAAAAATGGCAATGACTTATCTGACAATCGTCTCTCTAAAATTTACAGAAAACTCCAACACCTCAAAATCAAGAAGACAAACAACTCAATTTAAAAATGGGCAGAAGACATGAAAATACACTTCACCAAAGAAGATATTCAGGTGGCCAAAAGCATTATGAAGCAATGCTCATGATCATTAGCCATTAGAGAGATGCAAATCAAAACAGTGAGATACCATTTCACCCCTGGAATAATAGCACAGTTCAACAAGACAGAAAACAAGAAATGCTGGTGAGGATGTGGAGAGACTGGAACTCTCATACATTGCTGGTGGGGCTGTAAAATGGTACAACCACAGTGGAAAATGTCATGGTGTTTCCTTAAAAAATTGAAAACAGAAATACCACTTGATCTAGCAATCCCACGAGTAGGAATATATCCTAAAGAGTTGAGATCCAAGACATGAACAGATACATGCACAGCTCTGGTGGTGTAGTACCTAAAGCATTTGACTACTAACCAAAAGGCTGGTGGTTCAGATCCACCAGCCACTCCCCGGAAGAAAGACTGGGCAACTGACTTCCATACAGATACCGCCTCAGAAACCCAAAGAGGGGTCACTGTGAATTGGAACCAACTCAATGACAGTGAGTTTGGTTTTTTTTAGTTTATGTTCACTGCCGCACTATTTACAATAGCAAAGACATGGAAACAACATAAGTGCCCATCAACAGATGAATGGGTAACCAAACTACGGTACATACATAAAATGTAATTCTACGCAACATTAAAGAACAATAAATCAGTAAATCATCTCATAAAATGTATGAACTTGGAGGACATTATGCTGAGTGTAATAAATCAATCACAGAAGGACAAATAGTGTATGAGTCCATTATTGTAAAAAGTCAAGGTAAAGTTTACACAGGGAAGGAAATGTTCTTTCTTGGTTACCAGGGATGGAGGGGAGGAGAAGGGAGGGAAAATAGATGGATAATTAAGAGAAAAGTTTGATATAGGTGTAGGGAAAAGCAATATAACCAAAGTGTGTGACTAGCACAATATCACTAAGGAAAAGGAAGACATGGAGAGGTGCAAAAGAGGTACAAATAATAAAGACATATACTACTGCATACACAATACTGCATTATCAGTACGGTAAACACTAATCTACAGGTGGATACATAGGGAGACAAGTAAGAACATTAGGTATGGACAGGCAAACATACCCACAACATACATAGGTTTGGCAGATGATACTCCAACATATGTATTTGTATGTGCTATAAAAATGTCCATATGCAGTTTAAACATAACAGGAGAAGTTAGGATAAACATAACCGTAAGATGTTCTTTAAACATAAGAAGTTAGGATAACTTCTTAGCCACAAATAAGCACCTTGAGGGAGTGAGTCATTGGGCCTGTGGGCTGGAGTGGATGATCATGGGGGACCTCAAGCTCAACTGGCACAACATGGTATTAAAAAAATACTGTTCTACATTTTACTCTGATGAGTAGCTACTGGGGTCTTAAAAGTTTGCAAGTGGCTATCTAAGTGGCATGTATTGGTCTCTCCTTATCTGAAGCAAAGAGTGAAGAAAATCAAAGATGCATGGAAACAATTAGTCCAAAGCATGAGAACCTTTGCCTATATGACCCTGGGACCAAAAGAACTAGATGGTGCCTGGCTAACCAATCCAACCACTTGGAAAGGGATCAAATTAGAGATCTTTGATAGAATAGGAGAAACATCTGGAACAAAACTTAAAATCATAAAAAAAGACCAGGCTTACTGGTCCAACAGAGACTGGTGAACCCACTAAGACTATGGCCCCAAGTCACCTTTCAAGTTTGGAAGTGAACTCCTTCCCGTGGCTTAACTCTAGACCAAATAACAGACAAGCTTACGAGCTGAACACTTATACCAGGGAGATGCACTCCTTAGAATAATCAACCATGGGAAATCAGAAGGGCAGCATTTGCACAGGGAGAAACTAGGGAGGCAGGAATGCATAGGCAAGAAGGACACAGGGAAAGGGTAACCACAGTGATGAAGTGGGAGGTGAGCTGTTACACTGCACGGAATGTAACCAGTATCATGAAACAAACTATGTATGAACTGCTGAATGCAAAAGCAATCTGCTTTGTAAAATTTCACCCAAATCTTATAAAAAGCTAAAAATAAGTAAACGTATATTTAAATAACAAAGAGAGAGAGAGAGAGAGAAATAATGTAGATGCAGATGGCTCAAAAGTTATCTGTTGGTAGAATATTCATTACTAGAGTTACAGGCTAGTAACCCTAGATCAGTGAATGATTCTCAAAACAAACAAAAACCCTCAATGTACTGAAGAAAACAAAAATAAAAATGAACTCACTATATTCTCTTTCTTCCTGTATTCTGTAAGTAAGCTATGCAATAAATCACCCAATCACAGCCAGTAGCTGCCTAAGTATCATTGTTGATCCTTTCTCTCCCTTATTACCCTCTTTGATAATAACTATAGGTCCTGCAGATTTTATATCACAAATAGTTCTTGAATTTTTTCACTCCTCTATTCCTAATAATCTGTCCTAGTTCAGGTTCTCACTGTCTCCCACTTGAACTAGCCACCCAAAAGTCTTGCCCCTTTATATCATTCTCCCCATGGTCAATCACAACTCTGACCCAAACACAATTCTGCTTAAAGTATTTCAAGGATGTCCTTTTTCTCTGACCACTGATTGTAGGCCATGCTTCTAAGCTCTGCAAACAAGTTCTTCAATTGTCTTGGCCTGCCCCCTAACTTCATCTTTCAACACTTTCTGCCTTCCACTTTATGTTACACAACACCAAACTGCGTTATTTTTTTTTGTGAATGGGTCTATGCATAGATTGCAATCACTGCCAGAAATGTCATTTTTTACTCCTTCTTCCTACTTAGCTGATAACCACCACCTATTATTTAAGGTTCAACATAGAAGTCAAGCCCTCCAAAAATCCTCCTTGAACTATCTCTTCTCACTGCCACCTCCACATGTTGTTGTTAGGTGCCATCAAGTCATCTCCAACTCAAAGTGACCCAATGCACAGCAGAATAAAACACTTCCCAGTCCTCTCCCAGGCTCATGATCCTTGTTATACCTGAGCTCATCATTGCAGCCACTATGTCAATCCATCTCGTTGAGGGCCTTCCCCTTCCTCACTGGCCCTCCACTTTACCAAGCATGATATCCCTCTCCAGGGAATGTTTCCTTCTGACAACATGACCAAAGTAGGTGAGACGAAGGCTGCCATTCTCACTTCCAAGAAGCATTCTGGCTGCACTTCTTCCAGGACAGATCTGTTGGTCATTTTAGCAGACCATGGTACTCTTAGCATTCTTCTCCACCATCACAATTCAAAAGCATTAACTCTTCTTCAGTCTTACTTATTCACTGTCCAATTCTCATGTGCATAAGAGGTGATTGAGAATACTATGGTTTGGGTTAGGCGCCCCTTAGTCTTCAAGGAGACATCTTTGCTCTTCAGCACTTGAAAGAGGTCTTTTGCAGCAGATTTGCCCAATACAATACATTGTCTGATGTCTTGACTGCTGCTTGCATTGGTGTTGATTATAGAACCAAGTAATACAAAGTCCTTGACAACTTCAATCTTCTCTCCATTTATTGTGAAACCATTTATTGGACCAGTTGTGAGCATTTTTGTTTTCTTTATATTGAGATGTAATCCATACTGCAGACTGCAGTCTTTAATCTTCATCAGTAAGTGCTTCAACTCATCCTCACTTTCAGCAAGCAAAGTTGTTTGTTTCAGCAAGCAAAGTTGCATATCGCAGGTTGTTAATGAGCTTTCCTCCAATCCACATGCTCTGTTCTTCTTCATATAATCCAGCTTTGCAGATTATCTGCTCAGCATACAAGTTGAGTAAGTATGGTGAAAGGATACAACCTTGACACACTCTCTTCTTGATTTTGAACCATGCAGTATCACCTAGTTATGGTCAAATGACAGCTTCTTGATCTATGTTCAGGTTCCTCACGAGTACAATTAAGTGCTCTGGAATTCCCATTTTTCTCAAAGTTATCCATAATTTCTTATGATCCACACAATCGAATGGTTTTGCATAGTCAATAAAACGTTAA